GGGGGGGGGGGAGAAAAACAGGTGTGGTCAGGGATGTGGTCTCAGCTGGAGTCTACATACCTTCTGTCTGGCTCCACAGGGAGCTCTGAAGAATGAGCTGCAGTACAAAGTTGGTCTCAACTTGAGGCAAGGAATTGGCCTTTGCACCCCTGTGCTGGCTGGTTGCAGGCTGCACATTGCCTCTTTGGGAGGCAGAGGTGGATAGGAATAACCTCTCAGGAAAAGTGGCTCCCATTTGGTCAAGGACAGTTGAGGAGAAGGGTACATCCCAGAGGCATTAGCAGCCTTGTCGCCCAGCAGTGAAGGGGGCCAGAGCAGGTCACAGACAGCTTCCTACACCAGGGATGACAGTAGGACCTAGCTCATGCGTCTGCTAGCATGATTGAACGGATGGATACATGCAGAGTGCTTAGATCATTACCTGGCGTACAATAGGCACTCCATAAATGCTACTTTATGATTATAATCATTTTTATTTTTACTGGTAGCTCATGAGAGGTATTATTTCTAGGGAAAAAAAATAGAAAAACAATACAGATATCAGTGTTTTCTTGGGAGTCCAGGATCCAAAGTTTGAAGAAATTGTTGGTTTCACCTTCCTCATCTCTCAGAATCAACCAGTCCTGGGACTGGAGCTGGACTTTTCAATCTGGGAGATCCTGTGAGGTGTCTGGGCCCACGCTCCTGAGACTGTCCCCTGACAGACCCTCTCTCAACAACGTCCTTGCTCACACACATCATCAGCCACGTGATGTTTTTCTCTTCTCAGTCTTTCTGTCTATCTCTTCTCTCTTTTTCTCTCTCTCACTCTCTTTCTGTCTCTCTGATTTTTTCCTTTCATAGGTAGGCCTTGATATCTATTGTAAATACTTAATTTTACCCAAATAATACATGCATGTTTAAACAAATTCAAACCGGAGTAAAAATGTATAACAAAACCCAGGGAATCCTCGTCCTTCAACCCCACTCTCCAGAGCCAACCACTTCCAGCCCTTGTGGAGGTTCTCTGTTTCTACCTCGTCCGCGTGTTTGTAATCTTGAGTCAGTAGTTATTAATCTTAGGCGTGGTCCTTTTCTTTCTGTTGTGAGGAATGAGCTCCTGCAAGCAGTTCCCTCTCCTCCTCTGTCCATCACATCCTCACACTGACGTTGTGTCACCACGTCCAGATGGGTCAGGAAGCCTGTCTACGTTTGTCTGTCTGTGAACCCCTGCGGAGCCACGGGCGTGCTACAATTGCATCTCCTTTCTTGTATAAACCTTTTAACTGGAGATGCATGCTTCACTTTTTTTCCTCATTTGCATTGAGTTCTATCCCCAGGCCCTCATATGTCTTAAATATCATTGTTCTTCCCTTGCGCTTGGATATTTTGACTGATTTTAGAATTCTGAATTGAAGATTATTTCCCTCAGTATTTTAAATGCGTCGCTCCATTTCCCTTACACCCAGCATTGGGTTGAGAAGCCCTGCACCTTCTGATTTCTACTTTTCAACATGTACCTGTTTTTGTTTGGTTTCGTGTTTAGACTTCACCTGCATAAGCACACTCTAAAGTGTTGCAGGGGGTGAGAAATCACTGAAGATAACTTTTACCCACTTTGAGCACTCTCACAGCGAGTTGGACCCCTTGATAACTGAATCGCGCCAAGGTTTCTCTCTTATGACCCTCTCTCCTCTGAGACCCTCGGTTGTTTCTTCCCGTGTCTTCCTTAGCATGCATGACATTTCACTGTGAGGCCCTTTTCAGTGAGTGCCTCCAGCACATCGATTAGACTGTCCTCATTCGGAGCTCAGAGCGCTCACTGTGCTCTTTATATCACCAGAGCTTTGCACAGCTTTTAATTTTTGCTCAAGAAACCGTGGTTGGTGACCCACAGTCCTACCAACTTTTTGCGCAATTCCTGACATTCCAGATCTTCAACAAGGTCAACATGTACGACAGTATTTTGATTGTTGGTTTTTAAACAGATTTTTCAACTCTCAATCAAAGGTCACTTTTGTTGTTGTTGTTGTAAGGCAGGGTTTAAAGGAGGGAGCAAGGAGACAGTCCTATCTGTTCCTGCTCATTCATTGCAATCTCTCCGTGGCTTTCTGTTCTAGTGACAGTCCCAACATACACAAACGTATTTTGCAAGTGGGATTTTGTGCAACACTGTATCAAATGTATTACAATTGCCATTCTAGACATATTACATCAGCTACATTGCTTTCATCTGTAAATCTTGTAATTCCATCAAAAAAGCAATCAAGTTGTCTATGGAATGATTTGTTCTTCACAAACACCTGGTGATTATGGCTCTTGGTTCCATTATCCCATGGACGCTTTCAGATTTCCACCTCTCCTTCCTCCATTATTTACTGGGGATTCAAGATGTGCACAGATAATTCAAATTTACCGTGTTTCACTGATTATTTTATAATGCCATTAAATAGGAATATAGTACTGTATTTCACAAATGAGGAAGTTAAAAACAAAGAAATGCATGAATTGAAGTTGCAGTGATCCAACCATGATTTTCCCTGGAACTGAAAACTTGGTTTTAACAGAGCCAACTTTGCCCATCCTTTTCTTTGAGGTCTCCCAAGCCCTTCCGATTCAGTGAATTTGTAAATGACCGCCACACCTTGTCTGCCCACATCAAACCAAAGCCTTTAGAGTAGAGCTCTTCTCAATGTATTTGCTTAAATTGTAGCCACAATGTTTCATACCTTCCCCCTTTTGTACAATTTGGGAACATTCAAATATTGTAATTTACGCAATCACCGAGGCAGAACGTGTCAGAGTGCACGGAAGACACGTAGCCCTCGGTCCAAACTGTGAAGGGGATCGAGCTGCAGTGCTCAGAGGATGGTTCCATGTGGCCAGCTCTGCTGCCCTCGCCCAGGGGCGCAGCACTGTGAGGCGTGAGTATCCACGCTTCCCCTGACAGATGATTAGGCCGTTGTACTGGGGCTAAGAAAAGAAAATGAAAGGAGAGAGATGGGGAAGTGGTGAGTAGGACACGCACATAGCGCGGCTGTCTTCATGTTCGGAACATGCAGTTCCTTTTATGTAAACCAGCTCTTTCTTGCCTGAGGGCCGTAGAAATTGGTGTGGTTGGTTAGGAATAGAGGGTTGAGCTGTGCTAGTAAATGAGGTTTTGAAATATCAAGTTTAGAGGCTAAAGATCAAATTTCAGTCAGAGCGATTCTAGAAAACTATTGGCACAATTGCTTTACGACATTGTATTCTGTTGAAAGATGAAGGAGGGAGAGAGGTGGCTACTTGGGGACTCTGCAGGGATTCCTAAGATTCTGGGGCACCAGGCAAGGCTGCCTCCCTCCACTGGCAGAGGCAGCTTCATCTCCTCAGACAGCCGAGCAGGAGAGAGGCGGCGTGGGCAGCTTGGGAGCTGGGCCCACGTCTCGCAAAGAGCACAGGTCCTGTCGGTTTCTGAAGAGGGCAGAGCATATGCAGGACCTGGTGCTCACTGGCAAGCCGAAATTTCTCAGGATGCTTGGTCACTTTACTTTAACATTTGGTGACTGTCTGTGGTTGAGAGTCAAGCATGTGAGGGAATCACAAAGCAGGTTTATAATTAGAATTTGCATGTATGTATTTAATCTCTTTTGCTTTTTTCTTGTAAAATGATGTGGTTTAATTTGTCTCATCTATACATTAATTAACAAACACACATGCAATTCATGAATTGAAGACAGAGAAGAAATTCCAAAAGCACTGGATCGAAGAGATCATGAATAAATATTTCGTACAAGGATACCAGGGAGGTTGTATCAGAAACTCTGCCATTTGTTGGATTTTATTGGAGCCATAATGGCAACCAATGGGTTACATAAACACTTCATGTATTTATAATAGAAATGCCCTGGACCAAATATACTCCATTTACTGTAGGGTCAAATATTTCCAGCTGTATGCGCCCCATGCCTGTACTTTGCACATAATTTAAGCCATGTGCTTTTTATTGAGTATAAAGTATAACATGTTTATTCTCAAAAACAAGTAAGACTTGCTCCTATTTACTTCGATTCAGCCAACTACAGTTAAAGATTGTGAAACTGGATGTTCCAGATTCACCCTTTCCCATCCAGAAAAGCAACCGCCTTGTGGAGACAGAAACCGTCTTCCGGGAAAGAAGGGCTGTGGGCTGAGGACACCTTTCCGTGACTGTGTTCAGGCCAGGCAAGCATAGGGCATCCAAAGCTTGGAAATGGGGTCTACTGCTCTTGGGGTGCACCAATGGGTGTCATTGGCATAGAACTCCCGGTGACTAATGTCACTGGGAATGGGTAGGCTGGTTTGTTTTGTTCTCTGCCTGTCCTCAGGGTATCACAGATTGCATTGGATTGTGAAATCCTTGAGGAAGGGTGTGAAACATTGCGTTGTTTGCCATACTCCAGTTTGTGGAAACTATTCTCCGTGCTTTACCTTGACTCCGATCCTCCACGGATTAGCACAGCAAATGAAAACAGTATGACCTTGAAGTTACATGGATTTGAGTTTTAATCCCAGCTTTGCCTCTCTGTGACTTTAGGCCTCTGGTAATCTGTGTGACTCCCCAGTTTCCTTCTGTGGAAAATGGTGGTCGTGAAAACTCCATCGCAAGATGGTCAAGCATGTTGCCAATGATGTATATGAAGCAGTTGGCAGAGAGGGGTCGTTCTGGAAGTTGTAGCAGGTAAACAGATGAGGGAGCATGTAGACTTTCTGGATCTTTTCTGCTTTGTTTTGTTCTTTAGCACTAAGTGCAAATTATCCTGAACAGCTGAGAAATGAAAATAGCTTTGCAAAGCTGAGTAAGTTTGTATTTCTTGTAAAAAACGTCTAATCAAGAGGCTATCAATTAGCTCTGATGGCGCATGACCTCTAGCTCCCAAATCAACATACTCTGCCTCGTCTTTTTCTCAAGAATTCAGTTCTTTGGCCAAGGTCAAGCGTGAAAGGGAGAAGATATTTCTTCAGTGGAAGGCAGTGGGGAAAGATTTAAATAAATTCTTTTTTTAATCTCTTTTTAAAAAAATAAAAGTGAAGTCATTCCAAATAAATACAGAGTAACTAGGAATACAGGTTATTAGGTCATTGATCAGAATCTGAAAACTTATCTGCTGAATTTCTCTTCCACTTATTAGTGTGAAGGATGAGATTTGCTGTAATGATCTGGTGGATGCTTACATTTCATCTGACTCAGTTCGTAGATCTTATTATAAAGTGCTTACTGGTGACACTGGGGTAGTTTCGCTCTGTAGAAATGTGTGTGCAAGGAACAGGAAAGCGTCCACGCTTGCTTGAGGTTGTGTGGTTTATGGATGGATGTGGGGATCTCACGGAAACCAGCTGCAGGCAGCACAGCTAGAGGGCAGGGGAACAAGAAAGTGAGGAATGCGAAGTTCCTCTGTGCACACCTCCCTGCTCCCTGACCTTCACGGTGTCTCATCTCCACCGGGGTCCGTGAGCACCCACTCCACAGCGCTCTCTGCAGGCCACACGTCCTTGCTTCTACCTGGTCTGACCAGAAACTGAGCACCCTGGGGCCCAGTTCATAGCTGATTCTCCTCATTCTCAGTGGTTCTGTTCTGTAAAGTTGCCACAAACACTTAACTAGTGAAAAAGGCACCTTCACTCCCAGGGGAAACACAGGGTTCGCTTCCTCTGAGAATCCGATCACATGTTCATCAGCTAATCAATATTTAACCTTGTTTGATGTGTGCTTCTGTTTGAAGACACCTTATTTATTACATATTGTCCATTCAGTAACATTGAACTCACAGCCCCCAGCACTGTAACTCAGCCCGAAGGAAGCTCATCTCACAAACGTCTTCTCCGTGAGGCACATCCCAGCCTCCTTGTGCCCAGGAACATAGCACTTTAGCATGGCACTCGGGGGACAGTGTAAACAGTGAAATCACCAACAGAAAGCATGAAAGTGCAAAAAACCTGACACTAGACTGTGAAAAGGCGTGCATTTACAGTACGAGAGATGAAACCAGAAAGCAGAGTGCGACCTCGGCTGAACTTACTTGGGAACGTATGGGTCGGGTGACTCAAAGATTTGCTGTTCTGTCCAATTCCATGAATGATCACAAAAGCACTGATAGTATTGATTTGGGGGTTACACATAAAGTTTAGTGAGTAGGTAGATTTGCAAAGGTGGAATCCATGAGTAACAAGGATCACGGGTCTATGACTTTGTAGCTCTTGTGGCCGCAGGCTCTGTATTTTGACCCAAGAGCTGTGGGAGAGAATCTGATTTGCTCTAATCAGGTGGCTGGCTGCCAGCCAGGATGGGGGGAGCGGATTTTGTGGGGGGCGGGGTTCTTACTTCCAGAGCAGCTGTGGCCATACTCTTCAGCAGGGAGTGTGGCTGACAAGGAGGAGAGACTGGAATGTCTGGAACATGGTTCCCAGTGGAGTCCTTCATCTCCTTTTTGCATTGCTGCAAAGAGGTACTTAGCACCCCAAGTACTGAGTGGATGTTAGAGGTCAGAAGTGCCAGGACTGCATTTTGTAACTGACTGTATGTTTTTGCTTTTCCTTACCCCATAAGATGTCACAGGAACCCACAGAAGGCGGGACTGACCCTGTGTAGAGGGCTTCTGTACTCACAAGCAGAATGGTTGTAAACACTTTGCTCAACCTCATTGGATCCTAAGCCCTATGTCCGTAAGGTGATGACACTGTTGCCTCTCAGGATTGCTGTGACGATCAACAGACAGCCTTCCACCTTCCAAGTGTATACAAAACAAGCCACGGCAATTTGGAGTCTTGGGCATATGGCCACATGACTGTATCAAGGCTTGCTTGTCACTGTGGTAGAGTAAACAAAGGTACTGAGGATGCTTCCACCCTGGGACTCTATCAGGAGTACTTTCATGGAGAGAGAACATCCACAGCCATACTGTGTCTGACTCAGTATGACTGATGCCCTCCAGGGTGCACCCTGAACCTGAAGGGTGGGGTGATGAATAGGTAACCTCTTAACCAAAAAGACAAGCTTTTCCATAGAGGGTGAAGTGTGAGAAGTCTCCCCATATCTCATGTATGTATTTTTCTTCCCTACATAAATAGAGAGGCTTTTGAATTTTCAAAATCCTTTTCTTCCTGGGCTGTGAAGTTATGGGAATGGAATGAATGGCCTTTCCAGGGATCCTCCAAGGCCCCAATTCTGATTTAAACACCTGGGCACAGACATAAACACACACAGACCACTGAAATCAAGCACTGTGGCAGTCAGCCTCTCGTGTGGAGGTGGATGGTCTGAGACCAGAGGCCCTGAGAGGGGCCCCCTGCTCACGGAGGTCCTGGCATGGCGGCAGCTTACAATGGAATATTGTCCCAGCAGTGAGAGCCTCCCACACATATGAAGTCATAAATGAGAGAAATAACATACCGAACTAGACATAATTCAGCCGGAGTCTGTAAGTTTTGTTTGAGTCAAATACTGGCCTCACCAAAATCTCAGGGAGGATGACAAAGGGAATGAAAGAACTTAATTCTGATAGCAGTTTAAAATCTTGCAGGTGGCACTGATTGCTGGTCCACCATTAGTGGTGGAGTCAGTGCTCTAATTTGTATGAGACATATTGTCTAAAATTCCTGCTTGACTGTTGCCTGTCCAAATGTTGAACAATAGGCGGCAAGAGAGCCCATTTTTAGGAACTAAACCTATTATAATTTCCTTCTCCCAGGCCTAGGCAGCCCCACTGCCACAATACTGGGGGCCCAGATTCCCTGTTCCTTTGCCCCAGATAGCTGCCATCTTTCCCTCTCTTGGGAGACTAGTTTGGTATCTGCATTTTCCCGGGACTCCTGCTGCTCCCTCAGCTCCTGCTCATCTTGGGAACAAAGTGGCTTAGCCTTTAAATTTTAAACTTTCCTTCCAGAATTACTGTGTATCTGGAGTGAGAGAAGAAAAAGTTTTTTTTATCTTAAAAAGCAAACCTCATCCTTGGGCTCTAATAATCCCATTGGGCACCTCTCCAGGCTGCCACCCCACTGTCTATACTAAGTTATCGTGAGCGAGGACAGTGAGCACGGCTGGGTATAGAAAGTCCTGTGGCTTGATAAAGCACTTCCCTCCTTGCTCAGGAGGCCCAGTGAGCAAGCAGGTTCTGGTCCCCTGGGGTAGAGAGAATGATGGCTGCAAGTACCAATACCTATCACTTATTCCTGAGAGAGAAGACATATTTGGGCTACCATTTGACTGAGATCTCTACAAGGGCCAACCCTGGATACGCTCAGTTAAGGGCTGAAAAAGAGAGGGCAACAGATGCTGATGAGGCTGAGAGAAACAACAAACTGTCTCACCCTGTGAGACAAGGCTCTGCCCCCAGGCATCGTGTGGCCCCTCATGTCCACTGTCTCGGTCTCCCCTCTCTCTCCTCTGAGTCCCAGGAGAACCATGATCCAGTAAGTGAGGCGTTTACGGGGAGTTGCCTGAGACCTGTGTCTTTCTCACTGGTCTGCTCTGTGTCAAACCAGTTAGTTATTTTGAAAATGACCTGGCCTGCTGCACAATATTGCCTTGGAGGGAAGAGGTATTTGTTTCACATAACACACGTTGTAGAAGGAGGATTGTCTGCAGCCGAATGAAGATAAAGCTGGAAATAAAGAGATAATATTAGAAACATCCATGGAGATGAGAGCGTGGCGTGGCTTTAATTGAGATGCCATTTCAGCTCTCTCCTACCATCCTGCTTAGAAGACTGTCGCCGGGACGACAACAGCCGAACGGGGAACAGCATCGAGGTACCAGAGCACTTGGCGAGGCAGGACAGCACAGGGCGCAGGATGATTTATAAATCCTCCTCAGAGCAGGCAGCCGTCTTCCTATCCGTTTTACAGCTGACTCCCCCAGCTCTCACAGACAGACTCGTGATATCTGCATTATTACAGCTTCCCTGTGTTCATCCCTCGCACTTCTGTAATGTAGGAAAGAGAGAGATTAATTGTATGGTGAAACTCTTCAACAATTTGCTGAAGCTCTGCATTCCTGACATTAATCTTTCCCCAAGTGCCCTATCATTAACTTGAAAAATCAACCGGGCAAAACCTTCCAGTACGTTCATGCAAATGGAGACACATAAATAGTGTGCAGGACGGGGATGGGGCAGGGCTGTCTGGCTGCCTGAGGATTGGTAGCAAGATGATACATTGAGCTTTTTTCCAGAATGCTTCATCCGTGGAACGTGCCATTTATCCCTAACCCTGCACTATCGAGTTAGAATAGCTTATTTTGGACATGGGCCTGGGAAGAGCATGAAAAACATTTCCATTTTCAAGTTGTTTTCAAATTATGCAAATAAAAAAATAATTTCTCTTTTGTGGTCTCCAAAAGAAAATCTCTTCTCCCTCTCCATTTGTGGAATTCAGCAACCAGCTGCCTTTACCTAGATTGTCGTCAATGTGGAAAGAAAATAAGCAAAAGATGTTTATTTGGAGACTTTCCCATAGAGTAAATGTTCTTATGATGCCAAATTTGATTAGTCTTATCATACATAAAATTGGCTTGTGCACTCTATTAATGTATTAATTTTGGAAGTTTTGGGTCTGCTTTTTCTGATAAGACTCTTCCACACATGAATTTATTCTTATGTAGATAGAGCTCTCAGTTTTTGCTCACAAAATCATGATGACAAGCCAGATGGAAGAACAGAGAGAGTTTCTACTGAGGGGAAAATGGCTCTTGAGTGGAAGTCTGTGGGAATGGATTTCACCCCAGAGGCTGCGTGGCTCTGTGCTGGTCACTCCTCTGTAATGTTCTCTCTTTCAGCCAGAGACTGTGATTTACGTTTTCCCTTACAGAGCTTGACATTAACTATTGGTGGTTTGAAAACGAAAAGTAAGCGTACACCGTTGTTTCACTGACTACAGTCATGCATGTCTCATTGACTGGACACGTTCCGAGAAATGCGTCATTAGGCACTTTCATCAAGCGAGCATCATAGAGTGTACTTACACAAAGCTGGATGGCATAGCCTACTACGCACCTAGGCTCTATCATACTAATCTTATGAGACCACCGTGGTATATGCGGTCCATCATTGACCAAATCGTTGTTATACGGAGCATGACTTTTGAACTCAATCTCTCGTGTCTGCAGTGAGCTGAATGTCCCCAGCACAGAGCATCCTCTCCCACATTCACATTCACCAGTTACCTGGCCTAGGCAAAGCGAACAATACATAATTTAAGTAAAAGGAGGTTAAATAAACAGATATAACTGGAGTTCTTGAAAAGAGAACAATTTTCTAGGTTTAGTTGAAAGTTATATACAGAAATCATATCAAACCTGTAATGTTTGTGATTGAAACAGAAATTAAAGTGGAAATTTAAGATGAAAAGTGACTCACCACAATTATATTTTTTCCTTGGTAAATAGTAAGGGATTTTATAATCAAGAAAGTCAAAACCTAGCAAAGGCTTGGATTTAAATAAAAAGGCATGTAGGTTTAATTTCAATTATTCATACAATTAATGTTTATTGAAAGCCTCATGGTGCGCATCTCAGTATTGAATGAGGCAAATGGTCAAGAAGCTTATAATTTAGACAGCCCAAAACAAATACTTGGATAATAGATAATGTAATTATATATAAACAGGTCACATGCAGGATCTCCCACAGAAAACCCACTTCTCTCTTGCCTACTCATGTCTGTAGCTGGGAAGAACAAAAGAATAGTTAGGGACCTCGTGATCAAGGATTTGTTTGGACTTTGATTACTAACTAAATTAATAATTTATTTTTATAAGCTACATGTTCAGCTTAAATTAAAGTCATTTGAGTTTGTGTGCAAGGTAAATACATTTGAATATTCACCTTTTTTTTTGTGGCGTAATATCAGGGAGCCAAGCTGGACTAAAATTTGGTGGAAACATTATTTATCCACAGAGATCATTTCCTTCAACTAAAAGTAATAATATTTATGTAGCACTTAATAAATGCAAGACACTATTCTAGGGCACACACACACAGAATGCAGTTATTTCTGTGAAGCAACCTTATGAAGAGCATGCAATCATCACCTGCATAAACAAAGGAAGGGTGGTAAAACATGTCACCTGGAAAGATGCCACTTTGACCTAGGGATTATTCTAAGCTTAAAGCACTTGAAAAACCACAGGTGCAACAAGGGCACTCTGTTTACCCCCTTTCTGAAAGAAGGAGATAAAATTCTTATGTGAAAGATGCCCTCCCTGTTCTAGGAGGAAAGAAACATTTTTATCTCCAGAGATGGGAGTAGAGGTGGAAAGAAATCTGTACAAACAGACTTTGTTAAAATAACTCCTATCTTTCTTTAGTCTCCACCTACTTTTCCATGATCGCCTCTCTTTGTTCAGCCTAGTATATGGGCGCTTAGGTTTTGCCATTTCTTTGGATCTTCATTGTTCTATGGAGACTCCCATGCACATATAAAAATCTGTTTGCTTTTCTCCTGTTGATCTGTCTTACGTCAATTTAATTCACAAGCCCAGCTGGAGCCCCTAAGAGGGTAGAGACAAAGTTTTGCCTCCCCTGCACTGACAAATTTAATGGTAGAGCCCAGTGTTAATAGAATTCTTTCTTTTATAGGCGTCTTAGGGGATGACGGTGATGAACAATCACACATTTATCAAATACCTACCATACGCCAGACACTGGAGATACAAAGATCGTCAAGACCTGATCCTTTCCCCAAAGCTCACCTTTTAGAGAGCGATGGACATGCAAGCAGATCAGTGCAGAGGTGGTGGAGGCCCTGCAATGGAAAATCCTGAATTGTGGAGTGGGGCATGCGATTCTCCCCAGAGGCGTCACAGAGAATTTGACACATTGAGTTCTCGGGTTGTCTCTTTCTAGAAGGTGGCCTGGCAAGTTGAAGTCATGGCAAAGATTCTCCAAGTTCTAACCACGTACTTGAGGCAATAAGGTGGTTCTGACTGTGATCTCTTACCGAACAAAGCAATGATCTAGTTTATTGGATCCTTAGCAAGTAAGAATGTGCATTTCCGGGCTTGTGACGTCTACTGTGAAGATCATGGTCAGCACCGGGAGGCAGGGAATGGAGACAATGTCCTTCAGTTCAAAGTAGAAGAAATCCTAGGTCTCTGGGGATAGAATGAAAACTCCTCCCACTTACTCCTGTTCTGTTCAGGAGAAAATCCATCAGCAGCAGTCGCTGGCATTGACTCAATATCCGGAGTAATAAGAGCATAAAAGGTAACAATAAAGGGAAACGAATACTTTGGAGAATTGTATAATCTAGGGATTTCAGCAGCTATGTTAAATTATTTACCAAATGTTTTTGAGGGTCAGGGCTTGCAAAGAATTTCGTGACAACAATGTACTGGTAGCAAGTTTGTGTGGAGGGTGTTGTCCAATAACGCGTATGTGTGTTCATATGTGTACATATATGTGCATGCCTGTGTGTGTCATTTAACTGTTTCAAATAGAACATGTGATGTATACATGCCACCATAATTTACCTAAGACGCTTCACCTAATCTCGTACGATCAGGCTCTCTTTCACATTACACACTCGTATCTAAAATCATGCACGTTCTACAGTTGTTTACTTATGCTAGCTCCAAAATGGGTAAGGTTGAACTCTTTCCCTAAAGCACACTATAAATTTTCACATGATAGCATTTTAATAGAATTTCAAGTATTTGTAGGTCACTAGCAAGCTGTCCTAACTTTTAAAAGGCGAGTAAATTGAACGTGTTATTCAAATCATGAATTCCTGAAGACTCACTGAGTTGGTTGTTCCTGGTCATCATCCTGGAGCATGCTGTGCATTTTAATTTGCCTAAGGAATGTGCCTGAAGGAAATATTTGGCCGTTAACACTATAAAAACTTTATCAGATAACTGGGCACTGGCTTCATAAAGGAGACGTAGCAATCATAAGAAAAGTCAAAAGTTCCAATTAGAATATATAAATAACGTCTATGGAATGGGAGGCAAGTCATGAGTTCTTCAGCCTTCCAGCCCTGAGGAGAACGTGTCCCTTGATTTCCCTCTGCTTGCACACTGGACTCCCTGTCTGCGTTAGGGAGATCCACTGAGGACCCCAAATTGATGCTCCTTCCTGCACCGGGGAAAGTTTAGGAGAGTGACTCTGCCATGTGGAGGGTACACAAAGGCTACAGGGGATGGCCTCCCCACAGTCCTGGAATCCTGGCACACAGGATGGCACAGGGATTTGAGAAGCTGTCAGCATGAAAAAAGGATACCATTTCTCATCTTCCTCAAATAGGATCGTTATAGCGTGCTATCATCACACTCTTTGAAATGAATTCTGAGGAATTAAGACACATTATTCACATGCGAGCACAAAAATCTTTCCGAGACAAATACTGGTGAGGATGCGGAGAAATTAGAACTCTCAGCCATTGTTGGTGGGAATGTAAAATGGTGCAGCCACTTTGGAAAACACTTTGGCAGTTCCTCAAAATGTTAAACATGGTGTTAGCATGTGATCCAGCAATGCTGCCCCTGGGTATATACCCAAGAGAATTGAAAATTTACGTCTATGCAAAAACTCGTACGCAAATGTTCTTATCAGCATTTTTCATAATAGCCAAATTGGAAATAACCCAAACGTTCATCAACAGATGGATAGATAAACAAAATGTGGTATATTTGCACGATAAAATACTCGATATTTTATGAAAAGAATGAAGTTCTGATACATGCTACAACATGGATGAACCTTGAAAATATTATGTTAAGTGAAAGAAGTAATACCAACAGGCCACATGTTGTGATATTTCATTTCTACGAAACGTCCAGAATAGGCAAACCCACAGACACAAAAAGTGGATTAGCGGTTTCCAGTGGCTTGGGAGGGCACTGGAGGGAAAGGGGCACTGCCTGTGGGTGTGTTTCATTTTGGGGTGATGACAATCACACAATGGCAATGGTTTCACAACTCTGTGTATATATTTTAAAACCCACTGAATTGTACACTTTAAAAGAGTGAATTTTATGATTTTGAACTATATTTCAATAAAGCTGTTATAAAAAAAGTCTTCTTGAGCCGCTTTAGATAGTCCAAGCCTGGAAACTCTGTAAAGGATCAAGATTTAATAGTTATTTTGAGATGTGTTATAGCCTGAAGATGAAATCAAATGTCTTTTAAGATAAACAAAGACAACAAAACAATGAGAAGTTATTTTTTCACATGTGTTGGAATTTCATGTTTTCAAACATCTGAAGGGAATCATCCATAAAATGAATCACAATGATAATAGATATGTTTTCGCAATGCTTTCACAGATGGTCTTATTCAAACACATTCCGGGTGATGATAAATACAGAAGCTTATGGAGTTACGCACTGTGAGACTCTGGATTGGAGCTGAGACCAGCGAGCAAGTTCTCAGAGGGAGCATTTTTACATGTCTTTGTATTTTCCAGGGCCTGGAGGAGGTGTTACTTGGAGGAAGAATTAAACCGGTTCCCATTTTAGAGTTGTCCCTTTCTGACGGGGCACCTTCAACCAGCAGTGAAATAAATATCCTTATATTTCTGAGATAATACAATTTTAAAGAATAGCCTACTCCGGGATGTGGTAGATCCTTGACAAATATTTCATGAAAGAATGTAGGAAGTAATAAATACATGAATGGATAAATATGGAGCACGTACTAGTGGATATAAGAGTGGGGCTCCCCACTGCACTTTTAAAGTTTGCTGCTTCTTTCGCCTCCAATATAAGCTTCGGAATTTTGAAGCATTTTTAAGAAATGAAATGATCCTAAAATATTTGTGGTCTGGTTTATGCGCAGAGTACGTCCCAAAGGGTTCTCTTGTTTCCTAACTACATAGTCAGTGATGCTAAGAACTTTAAATATAATGACATGACAATGTGCTGTAGCCCTCCAAACCAAAATGAGAACAATGTTTCCTGAAAAGCATCCTGGAAAGTGATTATTTTGGAGTGAAATCTAGTTCTCATTACATCATCTGATTATAAAATACTTTTATAGGAATTAAAGGGATATTGAGACAACGACTTTTCATCCATCTTTAACTATTGGTTTTCCCTCACAAGCCCAGGAAAACCAATATTCCCTATGAATATATGTGCTTTAAAATGTCCCCAATAGGAAAGCAATTAGAAACATATACTGGTTGCAGGGGTGAAGGGCAAGGGGAATATTGTTTCTGGATATTATCACAGTCTTTATCGAGATTCTGTGACACTTTGGGTCACTTGTCACTTCTGAAAACATTTTTAAGCAAAAATCAGCAGTCTTCTCTCATGTTATTGAATCAGCCTAGATTATAGTTATTGGAATCTGATGATTTGTTAATTTAAAGAACATGAAAGTCATCATTAGACTTTCTTTAAGATAACCAACAATGACTCGATCCACACCAGCCATTATCTCCATCAACATGTATTTATGAGGTCAGAGCTCATAGCCCGGGAGGGCAGAAATGGCAGTTCAAGTCAATTGATTTTTAAACATTTTGAGAATTCCTTACTGATTTATTTACATGGACTTGCACATTCTGAGATCAGATAAGAAGTAAGTACATCAGATTTCTCATGGGTAAATTGTTAACTTAAAGGAAATGGTATGAAAATATTACAATATTAGCCAATAGCACACATAGTGCTTTACATGTAGAAAAATATTATAGTCTGTCAACTCTCTTAAATTCTTCTAGAATTAACCCTTATTCTCTTTTTGACCAATAATGCAGCACCTTTTTCCCATCCTTTGACAGCTCATCATAACTCATAACAAAATGAGATCTCCATCACCTCCATTCTCAGCCGTTTCTCCAACTAATCCTGTTCGTGGACTCCCCTGTCTAGCCAAACTCTCTAAATTAATTCTTGGGCCTCTGACTTTACTGCCTCTATTTCTTCTTCCTGGCATTTTCTTCCATCAAAATCTTACTAATCATTCCTTAACTCCAAATCTATTTATTCTGTAAGATGGTCTCTGAATAATAGATTACAAGTATGTAACCCTGCTCTGAACGCTTAACAATTATTATCTGTATCAGACACGTGGCATACACATTTACAACTTTGTTTTGAAGCTAAATGTGAGCATGTCCATGCCCATGTAAGGTTCTGAATTCCTGGAGTTCCCAGACCACCCTGATTGATTTTCACAGGGTCCTTCACCCACGGCAGCCTTGCAGTGAACGCCAGACGACGGCACGGGAGCAGGAGCAGAGATGAAAACGGAGGCGGTTGCTGGTCTTGGAGGTGTCTGCGTGGTGAATGATTAGACCAGCACAGTGACACGCCTGCTCTTCCTCTGACCTGTGCCGTCGTTTTGGAAGTCGAGGTCCTCTGGTCACTAAGTAATCAGATGTATGGATACACTCCCTTGAGGTGCACTTGCGAAGGACTTTGATCGTCACACACAAAGCAAAGACGAGGACAGATCTGCTGCCAGCCTGCTCTTGTTTTTTGCAAAAGGACAGACTTCATGTAACACTTTTTGGTTGCAAAATGGCCATCTATTGCTCGAAATAGTGTTTAAAATTTCACTTTAGAATGCTTACGAGTAACCCAGGATGAATATAGTTATCTTAAGGTGAAAATAAATTAGATTTTGTAAATGAACTTGTAATTTTGGTCTCTCATGGAGCAGGATGTTACAGTAACAGAGCCGCGAGATTTCAGCAGGCACCACGAGCACATTCAACCAGGTCGATTGTTCTCGACAGGTTCTAACACAGACCCCGCGGGGGCAAAGGGTCAAAGGCAGGCGAAACAAATGCTTGACAATAATAGGTACAAAGGGCCCCTGTCCTTGGTGAATGATTAATCATAAGCTGTCATAAACAAAAGTGTTCTATACGTTTGATAAACAGGTTTGTAAAAGAGTACAGGAAATCCACAGGAAGAAGGTCACCTTTCAAAGTTAAATGTCAGTCATAAGACAGTTGGGTGGTATTCGGGGGTGTCTATATTTTTGAGGAGTTATCCTTTAACACTCTGAGTCAGACCAGGGGGCTGTGTCTGTGCTCCAAAGTTGGTAACATATACACATCTGTAATTAAAAGGTACCCTTGGCGTTCTCATGCATTTCTTCATTCTGCTCTCCATTCAGTAGATTATTTTATGCAATTCATTCCCAGAAGCTGCTGTAAGGGGACATCCCTTTTCCTCTCCTGTAATTTCTCTTCTCATGGGAATGAGAGAGCAATTAGCCATGACAGCCACTGGGACAGAAAGGCTGTTAAACTCATGTTGCAAAAATAGAAACAAAACACTTTGTCGCATCTTCACAGTAGCCTAAGAATAATAGTGTGACTATAAAAAAAGAGACTAACTTTTGGTTTTTTTTTTCACAGATGTGCTGGAACATATATACCCAAATGCATGTGACCATCCCTAGTGGCCTACTTGGAAGATTGCAGAAATATTTTCCAATAATTTTGCTGTAGCTCAGAACACTTCTGAAGTTCAATTTTGAGAATTATTTTGAGACTCACTTTGTCAGTCACATAAGAAAACGATTTCCTTCCTCAGTGCAAGAGTCAACCATTGTATGGGCAGGGTATCAGCACCCTTCTTGGTACCAAAGGGTGGAACTAAGCCCACTGTGCACACTAAGAAGTGATAGCAGTAAAGAATCTGGGCCAACTTAATGACTTATGGAAATTATGAAAGTGGAAAGGAAATGGCCCAGGGGATGACAGTCCTTTCAATCAGTCACGTGTCAATGGAAATCCCTGAGAAATGACTTCTTAGCTTTGTCACTGGAGGGGAAGTGAGGAGGTGCCCCTCTCTCTTCTCCCACCACGCCGCCCTCTTCCCCAACATGACGGTCCATGCGTCATGTTTCTATGGACAATAAGACCAAACAACAAACACATTAACTCCAGAAGCTTTTGGTTGTGAAGGGTAAGGTATGTGGTTGTAGCTTGGAAAGGAAAGGGAAGGAGGAAAATACAGACCCACATGTCCTCTAAAGATAGTCTTTCTTTTACATGTCAGAATAATCTTTTTTTTTTTTTCATTGTAGAACCTATATTGTCTTCTTTTCCCCTCTCAAGAATACAGGTCTGAATGATCCAAGAATGGAGTTTCCCACAGGAAACACTTTTCCTCTGCTTTGTATCATAGGCTTTGCCATGGAAAAGAGCCCCTGAATGGGTGCGTACCTCGAGGAGTCGTCCCGTGAGGTCCCTCTCCTGCACTGACTTGCCAAGGTGCCCCCAGTCTCTGGACTCCCTAGTCACGGTTCTTGGTTCCTTCTGCCCTCCTGGGCTGGATCATGGAGGCCAAAGCCAACGGGTTTGGAAAGGCTATTACAGCTCTGTGATTTTGTTACCATTTTGCACTGGAATTCTCCTTACGACATTACTCTGAAATGTCCTTCGATCCCTGGAACGTTTCCTATGGGAGAGAACTCTCAATCCCCCAAAATGATGCAAGTATTGAAGGACATGATGCATGCGACCCATATAGTGCGGGGCTGGGGGAGCTCATCTGATGACTCATTCCTCCTTCAGAAAACTCAGACAAGCCTGGCATGGTCATGACCTTGCTGACCTGACATTTGTCCCCTGTGATTTCTACCCATTGATTCTAGGTGTGTTCACTGCAACCCCACAGACCCTACAGATGACCTTGAAGATTCCTGTCAACTTTTTTCAAGTCAAACAGCCTCATTTTCAACTATCCTTTGTAAGATATGATTGTTCTTCTCCTATGTGGTTCCAGTTTATTTTTACCTACCAGACAAATGTTCAAAAATTACCATTTTTGATGGTTATATTAGTGTATATGCATATCAACTCATTGAGTTGTACATCTTAAATATATACAATTTTTAATTGTCAACTATACCTCAATAAAGCTAAGAAAAATTACTATATATGTCTCATACTGTTATACTATTTTGTGGTTTACTTCTTTTTAACTTCTACTTCCATTTCTTATTCTCAAACTATGCTTTAAATTATTCTAATTAATAATGGTGACAGGATTGCATATGTAATAAGCTCTTGTTATAGGCCACGTATTGTACCAAACATACTTCATTCACATCTGTCCTCTGAGATGGATATGCTCATCACCAGCATTTTACAAGTGAAAACCAGTCAAGCCACAGTGTTTGCAAGTTGAGAAGCTACCCAAGCTCACCTGGGAAGAGAAGGGCGAAGCCAAGATTCAAACCCAGAGAGGACCAGTTCTAGAGCCCACTCTCTTTTCTGCACTCTCTCCTACATTTCTGCTTCCCCTTTTTATTCTGAATATGGCTAAAAGGTCCTTTATGTTGCCTCTTAACATTTTGTATCTCTAGCTCTTTGGAACGTTAGCCTCACGGCACTATTTTCAGAGGTCCACCTTTCTCTCCCGTACTTATCTTTGGTTATGTCCATCTTCTAAAATTATGTACATGAGCTGTAAACAATCCGAGCCTGTACATTATCTATATCTGACTGACACCAGTCAGTCAACTATAAGTTTTCCGGCACGTTCCTTTTCTTCATTTGAATCAGCACTGCTTTTCAAGTCTTGTTTCATGGGATCTACTTACCTTTCCTCAGAAACTTTTGAACCGCCTTGCTGATGTCATGGATATATGTGTGAATTTGGAAAGCCTTTAGTTTTGTCTCTGCCTCCCAAGGTACCTGTTCCTTCCTTGTTATAAACCGTTAGTCAACCTCAATGCTTTTTGCATTTTAGGCCTGCAGGTCATATGCTGTCTGTCACAATTGCTCCAATCTGCTGTTGTAGTACAAATGTAGCCAGAAGCAATATGCAAAATGAAGGGGCAAGACGGGTCCCAATAAAACTTTATTCATAATAGCATTTGGTAAGCAGGATTTGCCTGTGGGTCACAGTTTGCCTCCCCCTGTCTTAGACTATAAAATTTCCTTTGAAAGATCAAAGTTGTTATCCAACATGCAACCATAGTGGATTCATGATTAAGTTCAACACAGTAAAAATCAAACTCCTTTTTTCCACTGAAATTAGCTCCTTTCCCAGATTTTCCTATTTCTGGCAATGGTAACAACATTTTCCAAATTGTACACATTTAAAAAAAAGGAGTCAAATATTTGATTCCTCCTTTTTAGCTAGCTGCCGTATAGCTCACATCTGTGTGTTTCCATTTTCATAGCTGTCATAATTTTATCACTTCACATCTGTATTTATATTCTTGGCTTTGGCCTGACATGCTTGCCTTCAATTTTTCTCTTCAACTCATCCTTAGCATGGCTTTTGGGTTAATAATTCCAAAATGTTGCTTTTATTATTTTTTCACTCTTCAGTCTTCAAAATCTACCAAACTCTGACCTCAATCTGTCTTTCTCCTTCTCTCACCTTCTATATCATTCCACTAATGCATTTCTCTTTTCTTTTTTGCAAAACCACTCTATTGAGGTATGATTGACATGTAAAAAGCATAGATATTTAATGTATGCAACTTGATGAGTTTGGGGATGAGTATACACCTGTGAAACCATCACTACCATCAAGGCCATAAACATACCCATCACCTCCCAAAGTTTCCTCCTGCTCCTTTATTATTATTATTCATGTGTGTGTGTGTGTGTGTGTGTGTGTGTGTGCGCTAAGACCACTTTTCATGCCATCTACCCTCTTAGCAAATTTTAAGTATGCAATACAGTGCTGTTAGCTATAGGCACTGTGCTGTATAGCAGATCTCCAGAACTTATTCATATTGTAGAACTGAAACTGTACCCTTTGACCCTCACCCCCCTGCCCCCGCCCCGGTTCCTCCTCCCTGTGGCCCCTGACAACCACCATTCTGCTCTCTATTCTATGAGCTTGGCTATTTTTGACTCCACGTATAAGTGAGCTCATGCAGCATTTGTATTTCTCTGTCTGGCTTGTGTCACTCAGCCTAATGCCCTCCAGTTCCATCCATGATGTTGCAAATGGCAAGATTTCCCTTTTTCAAAGAAAACGACTGAATAATGTTCCGTTGTCTGTATATCTCACCTCCTCTTTATCCAGTCATCCATGGATGGACGAGTAGATTGTCTCTGTGTCTTGGCTATGGTGAATAACGCTGCAACGAACCTGGCAGTGCGGGTACCTCTTGAAGATATCAATTTCGCAACAAAATTAAAAGACAATTTATGGAATCAGAGGAAGTATTTACAAACCATATATCTGATAAGGAGTTAATATCCAAATTATAACAGGACCTCCTCAATAGCAAAAGAACAAAGCTGCTTTTCTCTGACGAGGAAGTCTGCCCGGCCATGCTCGCCTACCCTTGTCCTTTTGCTCACATGATTTCCTCCGCTCAGAACACCATTTTATCCAAAAAATACCTATCCACTTTGTATCCATTTTCAAAAACAAAGCTCAATTCTTATCTTTTCTGTGAAGTTTTCTTTGTCTACTCTAGCCCATGATGATGTCTCCTGCCTCTGAATTCTTGTAGTATAGGTTGTCGCCAAGACTCATTTGTCATCTAGTCATATGCTACCTTGCATCATTTTCCAATGTTTCAGAAACGTTTGCCTTATTTCCCTAATTAGAGCAACGTTTGTCAAGGTAAGCAGCATAACTTCCAATGCCTGGTGGTGTTTGTTTTCATAGAAGTCACTCAACATTTTCGTTGTTGAAT